ACATTTAATTAACTCACCCCTAATGTGTTGGCTAAGGAGCTCTGGCAGTGTAGTGGTTATGAGTCAGGCTGCTAACCTCAAAGTTAGCATTTTGAAACTACCAGCTGTTCCGTGGAAGAAAGATGAGACTTTCTGCTTCCATAAAGATTTATAGCCTCAGAAAGCCTGTGCAGGGTCGCTATGAGTCGGAACCGACTCCACAGCACATAACCACCACCACCAATATGTTGGCTGGAGTCCAGACGTGGCACTGTGGGTTAATGCTCTGGACTGCAAAGTCAGTTTGATCCAAAAGGTCGGCGGTTCACGCTTCCCTGCTGCTCCTCGGAAATCCTATACAGGGTGGTTTGAGTCAGAGCCGACTTGACAGCATTTAACAACAACAACAATGCAATGGCTGGAACTGCCATTGACAGGGCCTTGACAGGGCCAGACCAAATGATTTCACTGGCTTTATGGGATGTTCTGTACCCATGGTCGTAGGCTGGACTCTGTTTTTGTTGTTTATTTCTAATTTTGAGCTCTCAAAAGTCTGCTAGCCAGAATACTTCTAGGAGCCTGCTGCCTCCCCTTCACCCCCCCCCCCCCCCGCCCCCCTTCAGAATACCCACAGATTAACAAGATGTCCTCAGATTCTAACTTGATGATTAGCAAAACAATGCTTAAGGGATCGCATAATTGTCGCATAATTGGTTCAGACTCATAGTGATCCTGTACAGGATTTCTGCGGAGTGGCTGATGGGTTTGAACTGCTGACCTTGTAATTCAAACTGACCTTGGGGTCTAGTGGTTCCCCTGTAGTGCCACACCAGGACTCCTGTTAAAGCATGGTCTTGCACATGCCAATCAATCAGAGTTTTGCCTTGTAAGTTCCAGGACCGAGGCCTCCCTTCATGCCAAGCATCTAGATGTGGAGGGTCCTTCACAATATGCACATATATGAGTACACATGCAAGTCCTTGGGGAGGGGGGGAAGCACTATAGGGTAATGTGCTGGACCGCGAGGTCAATCTGAATTGCAGGGAGGGTGGTTCAAACTCACCAGCCACTCCTCAGAAACCCTGTACAGGGTCGCTGTGAGTCAGAATCAACTCGACGGTACTTAACAGCATCCATCATTGTTAGTTGTACACAGGATACCGCGTGGGTAACCCCATGCAGAATAGAACAGCTCTGAAAGCGTAGTCCTCAAGGTGACAGCCTTGCTTTTTAACACTTTAAAAAGGTCTTTTGCTACGGATTGGTAACAGAAAACAAAACCCAACGAAACCTGTTGCTGGGAAGTAGACTTCAACTCACAAAGATCTCTAGGACACAGTGAACTGCCCCCTAGGGTTTCCGAGGTCATAAATCCTTATAGATGCTGACTGCTGTGATGGGATCACACTGCTGGCTTTTAGGTTAACAACTGAGCTCACCTCAAGCCAACCACGCTTCACCAGGGCTCCTTTAACCAATGCAGTGGTGGTGGTGGTTGTGTGCTGTGTGTGGAGTCGCTTCTGACTCACAGAGACCCTGTATAGGGTTTGTGAGGCTGTAAATCTTTACGGGAGCAGAAAGTTTCCTCGTAGATTCCAACTGCTGCCCTTGTGGTTAGCAGCTTAACTTGGAAGTCATTGTTGTTATTGTTACATGCTGTCAAGTTGGTTCTGACTCATAGGGACCCTGTATATGGTTTCTGAGGAGCCGCTGGTGGGTTTGAACCACCAGCCTTGGGTTAGCAGTCCAGGTCTAACCCTACAGCGCCACACCAGGACGTAGCTCCGTATTTAATTCAAGAGAAAAAAAATATGCAAACATTTACTGCAATAAGCAAGTGATCTGTATAGCTATTATCACTGTACAGTTTACAAGTGAAAAGATGGTTTGTTTATACCCTTCTTTAGTCTAAAAAGCACTTGAAACAGATCTGTCTATAACCTTTTTTTTTTTAAGAAGTAGTGGCGTTGTGGGTTAATGTGCTGGACTGCTAAGTCGCTTTGAACTGCAAGGTCAGCAGTTCAAGTTCACCAGCTGCTCCTCAGAAATCCTGTACAGGGTTGCTGTGAGTCAGAACCAACTGGGCTGCACTTAACAACAACAACAACAAGGCAATCAAAATTACATGAGAAAGAACCTTCCACTGCACATAAAATTCACGTTCGTTCATTGTTTTAAGTGACCTTCGTTGGTGGGAAGATTGCGCACAAATTTCTCAGCTTTGACAGAGATCTATCCTTCTGAGACTGGCTGTTGGTGTGTTCTTTTGGTGGTTCTGGTACTTTGACTGTTCGTCTCAAACAGACCATAGTGTAATGTTGTTGTTGTTGTTGTTAAGTGCCATCGTGTAATATCAACAAGTAAATCGTATGGCAAAGTGCTGGGTGGATGCAACTTACTGCATTTATGTTTTCAAAATAAAATTACTAAATTTCTTGTATCTTTGTTGAAGGATAACAGTGGTTATGCTAATTTCCTTCAGAAAACTGAGAGGTGTTGTTGTTGTTATTAGGTGCCATTGAGTTGGTTCTGACCCATAATGACCCTATTACAACAAAAACACTGCACCATTTCACAATTGTTGCTGTGGGGGAGCCCACTGATGTAGACATTGTGTCAGTCCATCTCATTGGGGGTCGTCCTTTTTTTCACTGACTCTCCATTTTACTATGCATGATGTCCTCCTCCAGGGACTTGTCCCCACGGATAACGTGTCCAAAGTATGTGAGACAGAGTCTCTCCATCCTGGCTTCTAAGGAGCATTCTGGCAGCACTTCTCCAAGACAGATTTGTTCATTCTCCTGGCAGTGTGTGGTAGATTTCATACTCTTTGCCAACACCCTAATCCAGAGACATGGGTTCTTTAGTTTTCCTTGGTCATTGTTCACTATTCACATGCAGATGAGGAGACTGAAATGCCATGGCTTGGCAGATAGGGAAGGACTACCTGAAATTACCCATGAAAGAAGGGTCTACCCGGTCCTTGAGTTGTTGTTAAGTGTCATCAAGTCGGTTCTGACTCATAATGACCCTGTATAGGGTTTCCTAGAAGCAGCTGGTGAGTTTGAACTGCCGACCCTGCAGTTCAAACTCACCTTGCGGTCCAGCACATTATCTCTCAGCGCCACACCAGGTCCTGGAGTTAACACCTTAGAGAGTTATATACTTTTCAAAGAGGCCTAAAGATTTTACAAAGATAAGTTATTTAACGAGACTTCTGAACGACCAAGGCAAGAGGGAGCCTCCTTACTTTATTTTCAACTAACCAACAAAACCGGAATCCTGGTGTGGCGCTGTAAGATAAACACAAGGTCTGCGGTTCAAACCCACCAGCCACTCCTCGGAAACCTAATACAAGGTCACTACGGGTCAGAACCGACATGACACTTAACAAAAATCAACAAAACTAATCCGTTGCTCTTTGATCCATTCAGGCACATGGTAAACCCATGTGTGTCAGAGTAGAACTGTGCTCCATGACTAGTGTTTCAGAAGTACATCCCAGGTCTCTCTTCTGAGGCACTTCTGGGTGAACTTGAACTTCTAAACTTTTGGTTAGCTGCTTCGCATTCACTGTTTGATCCACCCAGTGACTCCTTGTTTTCAACAAGAATTACCTCCAGTCCTGGTGTGGCGTTGGAGACTAAACACTGGACCGCAAGGTCAGTTTGAACCACAAGGTCGGCAGTTCAAACCCACAAGCTGCCCTTTGGAAACCCTGTACAGGGTTGCTATGCCTCAGAACCGACGCGATGGCCCTTAACAACAGCAACAATTTTCTGTGTGTATCACGGTTGTTGGATGCTGTTAAGTCCGTTTTGAGCTCCTAGTGAGGACCGCATGGGACAGAGTGGAACCGCCCCAGAGGATTTGCTAAGCTGTAAGTCTTTACCCGGGGCAGATCACCAGGTCTTTCTCCCTCGGAGCTGCTGGATGCGGATGAGCTCCCAACGTTGGGTTAGCAGTGGAGGTTTTACCTGTTGCACGGCCTGGGCTCCTTGTCACTTCCTATGAAAACAAGAAGCATAAGAACGAATATACTGAGATGCAGTGACCTTTAAAATGCTACAAATTCTGGCTACAGCCAGTTCCGTTGTTCACGTGCCTTTTCTTCCTCTTTGCACACCTGCAGGTTTCGGGAGCGGGATGGCCTACCTCCCAGCGGTCGTCATGGTGAGCAGGTATTTCCAGAAGCGCCGAGCCCTGGCGCAGGGCCTCAGCACCACAGGGACAGGGTTTGGTACCTTCCTAATGACCCTTCTGCTAAAGTACCTCTGCGCCGAGTATGGGTGGCGGAACGCCATGTTCATCCAAGGCGCCGTCTCCTTGAACCTGTGCGTTTGCGGGGCGCTCATGAGACCCCTCACTTCTGGGAAAGATAGAACTGACTCTGCAGAGAGAGATCCGCCAGTCATCCCGACTCACTCCACGGAGTCTGTGAAATCAAATGGGCAGGTGGGCAGAGCCGAAGGCAAGGACGAGGTCCCAGCCAACGAGGAGCCCCTCTGTGACCTGCAGGCCCAGGAGTGCAAAGACTCGGCCCGGCGCAGGAGGAGCCTGTGTGCTTTTCGGGCTCTTAAGACTCTGAGCCAGCTCACCCGGAAGATCAAGCAGGGTTTCCGGGATTGGTACTCAGGTTACTTTGGGGCAGCCTCACTTTTCACCAACAGGATGTTTGTAGCCTTTATTTTCTGGGCTTTGTTTGCCTACAGCAGCTTTGTTATCCCTTTCATCCACCTCCCAGAGATCGTCAACCTGTATCACTTATCGGAACAGAACAGTGTTTTCCCTCTGACCTCTATTATAGCAATACTCCACATCTTTGGGAAAGTGTTCTTAGGCATCTTGGCCGACCTCCCATGCATCAGCGTTTGGAATGTCTTCCTGGTGGCCAACGTCACTCTTGTCATCAGCATTTTCATCCTGCCGTGGATGCACACTTACGCTGGGCTGGCAGTTGTCTGTGCTCTAGTTGGATTTTCAAGTGGCTACTTCTCCCTGATGCCAGTAGTGACGGAAGACCTGGTCGGGATGGAACACCTGGCGAATGCATATGGCATCATCATCTGTGCCAACGGCATCTCTGCATTGCTGGGACCACCTTTTGCAGGTAAACCTGTCAAGGTTTCTAAGAGGGTCAGAGAAAAGTTACTGAAAACAAAACCTATTCCCAACTCTGAAAAAACACTCCACAGAAACAGAAAAGAAGGAGAATTTGCAGTCTGCTAAGGAGCTCTGGTAGCGTAGTGGTTATGAATTGGGCTGCTAACCTCAACGTGGGCAGTTCGAAACTACCAGCTGCTCCGTGGGAGAAAGATGAGGCTTTCTGCTCCCGTAAAGATTTGCAGCCTCGGAAACCCTGTGCAGGGTCACTATGAGTCGGAACCGACTCTACGGTACTTAACAATAACAACAAAGAACTTGCAGAAACAGAAAGAAATCTCATCCATTATATAGCTAAGTAGGGGCCCTGAGAGCATAGTGAGTAACACATTGGGTTGTTAAAACCTACTGAGAGGTCAGCAGTTCAAACAAACAGCCACTCCACAGGACAAAAATGAAACTTTGTTCCCATAAAAATTTTGTTGGTGGTGGTGGTTGATGGTTGTCATTGGTGGGAGGCAGCTGGGAGTCTTAGACTTGGTCCAGGTAATCTCTCTGAACCTGTGGTGGTGGGCCAGGTAGGGTTTACACTTCCTAGAAAGGCAGTTCAGGTTGGGCAGGTGGGCCGGTGAGCTCAGTCCTCAAGGTGCCAAGTACTGGGTAAAGGTGGTAAGATCTATTGCTTGTCCAAGGACTGGAGGCAAGATCTACACTATGGGGCTGGGGGTCAAAAGTCAACACCAACCTGCTTCTCTGCAGGTGAATGTCAGGGCAGCTAGGCCAGGTTTGGCGGGAATCATTAGAGCTGCCAAATATTGTGTACAGGGTTCTAAACTAACCGGGTTCCATCACACCTGTTCAGATGCCCCTACCCGACCCCACTCTTTGTCTCTTGGGCCCCCCGAGTTCCTTTAATCTTGAATGCTCTGGCAAGAAATGCCTTCCTTTCAGTGGGTAGGGAAACCCATGAGTGCAGCCACAGCCCTCCAGCCCTTCCCCAGTCTCTATGGAACCTAAAACCACCTCTTCTCCTAGGGCCCCACTGATAGGGGGCTTAGGCCAACACTCCCATTTGTAAGTCCCCCTCAGAATTTGAAGTTCAAGAAATGACAAGGTTTTGCCTCTGCAGTGGACAGCACCAACAACTGAGTAAAGATTTAAAGACTGAGAATCCCTTGGGGACACCCAGTGGCTGACTACATGTGGGGCCCTCTGAGACCCCACTGCCCCTGTTCTCTGCCCATGCACCGAGCTGCAGGTGCCGTGTTTCTAGGCCGTGTACCCATAGTGCAGCTGGAGATGCTGAACTTGCTCAGTGGTCTCTCTGTGTGCACAACACTCCGTCTGCATTTGGCTGTCGAGAACCCCTGCTTCTCCAGGCCGGCAATCTGAAGGGACCAGTCCTTTTTCTTTGTTTGTTTCTACTACTTCCACTAAAAATTAGTGATCTATATTCAGTCCTCAAACTGACATCTTTGCTCCTCAGCACTTTGAAGAGGTCTTGTAGTTGGACAGTAGAGAGACAAATAAGATTAAGCCTTAGAATCCAGAATTAGTGACTACACTTCAGAACTGAATCAGACAAGCACACTGACATCTGAACTGAACACACCCAACTGCCACTCAGTGTCCCCATTTTTCAACGCTGGGTGGCCATGACAACAGGGGCAAGGATTCACTTGGAGATACTGCAAAGTGGCCATGAGTCCAAATCAGCTGACTGTTTTTCTGTTTTGTTTTGAATCGCTTGAGCCAACTTTGGACGGTAAATGGCATGTGGTGGTGGTTGCGTGCCATGGAGTCTGTTCTGACTCATAGTGACCCTGTACAGCATTTCCGAGGCTGTAAATCTTTACGGGAGCAGAAAGCCTCGTCTTTCTCTTGTGGAGCAGCTGGTAGTTTCAAACGGCTGACCTTGAGGTTAGCAGACCAACTCATAACCATTACACTACCAGAAGGTCTTTTAAACGGCATATATACATAAATTGTTATAGAATATTTATCATAGCAATAAATGTCAGCTATGTGTTCCTGACTTTTACCAGCTACCTTTCACTGAATATCTGTTTTGTTTTGCAGGGTGGATCTACGACAGCACACAAAAATACGATTTTTCCTTCTATATATCTGGTTTGCTTTATATGGTAGGAATCCTCTTTTTGCTCATTCAACTGTGTATTCGGATTCTGGCACAATCCAGGAAAAAATACATGGCTGATGCCCAGGTTTAGCACTACGTCATGTTTCCAACGGGATTCCTTTGACATATTATTGCCTACCTCGCACAGTTGCAGTGAGGAGCCTGTGACTTATGTGGGCAAGGACTTAAGAGTGGCCCCAAGCACCGCCATTTGTAAACACCATTACCCACACTCGGTTTAGGAAGCGCCTTTCTGTGTGAGGAGAATCTAGGCTAGAAGGTATTGTCTTACAGACTATACACAGAGATGATACTGTTCTTCAAAGACAGTCTGTTAAATAACTTGTACAAATGCCCTTATATATAAAAAAAAAAAAAAAGTGTATCCGGGATTAGGGTTTTTGATATAGCTTTGAAAACAAAGACAGGAAAGAAAAGCTTCCCAACCCAACTACTTCTTTGTAAAGTGGAAATCCAGTCTTTGTCAGCTTCCAGAAGAAGCATACTGATAGATGGACTCTAAGTGCAAGAATATGACTCGATTTCAAAAATCCGTTATTGTAGGAGCTACTGATTTCACCAGTGTAATATAAAAGCTGGCTCTAATTTCACAGGGACATTTATTTAGTATAGTTAGAGAACCACTGTTTTATATTTTTATGGGAAAACTCAGCAGCAAGGGAATGCCATTTGTAAATCTTTCTCTACAAGAAGACATTTGCCATTTGTCCTAATTCAGTATTATCCAGTTAGAAACTGAATCAATAAATAGTATTAATGAGTTCCTTCACAAAAGCCGTATTTGTGCATACAAATCAAGGGCTATGATTCAAGCGTTTGAATTCTTCTCTCTTAGAATATGAACATGATCTTGGGACCTCTAAACTTTTTGTCCTAAGTTTCCTCTCCCTTCCTAATCAGTAAAACAGAGAACTATTTTCAGGTTGCCATAGAAAGTTGGGGGCTAGGTCATTTGTGAAACATGTTACCAATCTAAATTGCATTATGTTGTTGTTGTTGTTATGACCGTGGAGTTGGTTCCGACTCATAGCGACCCTGTACAGGGTTCCGAGGCTGTAAATCTTTACGGGAGCAGAAAGCCTCATCTTTCTCCTGTGGATCAGCTGGTCGTTTCGAACTGCTGACCTTAAGGTTCGCAGCCCGATTCGTAACCACTACGCTACCAGAAGACCAAATTGGGAGGATAATAGAATTCCCTTTGTATACATTTTAGTGGTGCCTGGTCTGGTGCTGTAGGATCAGTACTGGGCTGATAACCACAAGGTTGGCAGTTCAAACCCACCAGCTCCTCCTTGTACTTGTAGACCCTATACAGGGCCACCGTGAATCGGAACTGACTCGATGGCACTTAACAACAATACATGCTTCTCCAGGTATCTTGGTAGACGAGGGGACTTTTACAATGTTCATGGGAAAATCCTGTTATCGTTCAATTCCAGAGTTCATTTTCCTGAGCTATGCCCAGTCTTTAAAAACCATTCTCTTAACTGAGTTCAGACAGAGGTAGCTGCGGCCCACGACGCAGACTAACACACTTCCTTTATCTGAGATGAATACTTGTCTAAGCCAACCTTTTTTTTTTTTTCAGATTGAAAAATATTCTTCCCCGAATAATTCTGAAATTTCTGGCTGCCTTATTTGTTGACACATAGTTTAGAACCATATAACTTTCTATTTGCCATTTTCTCATCACGAAAATTTCTTTGAATCATCACTGCCAGTGTCTTGGGTTAATTGTATCTGAAATGAACACGGTCCATTCTCAGTTATCCTTGGTACTTGGAAGCCTGGAGGTGCTACTAGGATCCAGAATCACAGAATGGTACCCCCAAGTCACACTTGAGCAAGTAGTTGTTTGGTTTTGACTCCACCAGGAGCTTCAGAGTTGCTAGCAAGGGCTTAAGTGGACAAGTGGGTCTACTGTTTCAGCTCCATTGTTTCAGCTCCATTCTAGTGGGAGGGATTGTGTAATTAAAGGACCAACCACCAAAAAATAACAATAATCACAAAAGGCAGCTAATAGGACAGAGAAACAAAGACATGGGCTAATATGTATCTGATATACCTCCAATGATTCGAGAATTGCCTGTAAATTATCCTAGAACATAAAGCACATGTATACGCCATGTGGTTCTACACCACAACTCATTTGTGATCATTACAACTTAGACTGCTCATAAGTAATGCAGCTTTCTATATTCATAAAGATAATCTACACACACACATATATGGTGGTGGTGGTTGTGAGTTGTCAAATCGATTCCAATTCATAACGACCCTGTGTAGATTTCTGAGGCTGTGAATCTGTATGGCCATAGAAAATCCTCATCTTTCTCTCCAGAGCAATTGGTAGATTGGCATTGCTGGCCTTGCGGTCAGCGGCCCAGTTCATAATCGGCTACGCTATCAGGACTGTACAGGATAATTGGATTGGAAAGGGTGTCATGTGATGGAATATTGACCTCATGACTTCATTGCTTCCAGTTTCCGACGACAATGCCAATTTAATAAGAGATAGTATTCATTATTTTGAATGGTGCTGTAGTCAGTCCTGGTGTGGTGCTGTAGGATCAGCACTGGACTGCTAATTAGAAGGTCGGCAGTTCAAACCCACCAGCTGCTCCTCAGAAATCCTATACAGGATCTCTGTGAGTCGGAGCTGACTAGATGGCACTCAGCAACACCACCACCAATAGCCGGTGCATTTTGATGCTCATACAGCTGGTTGTGCATCAAATATAAGAACTTTTTAATCCAGTGGCCTGACTTTAATGATACCCAAGTTAGACTAGGTCACATTCAAGTTGTGCCGTTAGTTGCTGATGTACTGTGCGTAAGTATGGAAGTGGTGATTTTTACTAAATCAGTAGAAGTTTCCATTTGACAACAATAGAATTGAGAGTTGCTTGCAATTTTTGTGTTCACAACAGATGAGAAACAATGCTATAAAATATTATAGAAAATACATTCATATTTCTTATTAAAATGTGTTATTACTTACAATTCTTTGGGTTAATTGCATATTTCTACTACATGTACTTGGTTTCCCCCTCATATACTCAAATTATTTTAATGGACATACAATTAAATACATTTTGTTCTCTTTAAAGCTGTTCAGGGAGTTTTTGTATAAAACATTTGCTTTCTTGCCCTTAAGAGGAACACACTGAAAATACAACTCATGTTTTCTGTTTGCTTTTTTTCCCTGGAATAATGTTTCTCTAAGTATAGTCGTTCATACTGATGAAGATCAAAGAGCACAGCCTTCAGTATGGATTGCATCTCAATGTAAAGAAAACAAAAACCCTCACCACTGGACCAATAAACAACATTCTTATCAACGGAGAAAAGATTGAAGTTGTCAAGGACTTCATTCTTCTTGGATCAATTATCAACACTCACGGAAGCAGCAGTCAAGAAATCAAACAATGTATTGCATTAGGTAACTCTGCGGCACAAGACCTTTTTAAAGTGTTGAAGAGCAAAGATGTCAGCTTGAGGGCTAAGGTGCACCTGACCCAAGTCATGGTATTTTCAATATCCATATAAGCATTTGAGTTATGGTGTTAGAGGAGAATATTAAAAATATCAAACATAGCCTTACATTTTTGCAAATCTCTTCAAAGTCTGGCAGTGTAGAAGACAGCTGGATTCTCCTATTTTTGCATTCAGCCTGATGTGATGTGTTGTTTTCATTATTTAAAGAATACTTTATTAGTTTCTGTAATCAAACACCTTAGATAAGAGCTTACATATTTAATACAGTGAGTTACCCCTGTACAAGTGGAAAAAAAAAAAAATTACGTTTAATGCTTCTAGACCAATAGGGCTGTTAATTTCTGTCCAATGCCAACTCAGCACAGTACAACTGGGATACTTTTTCCAATGCTGACAACACAACTTAAGTTTCCAAAAATTCAAATTATATATATATATAAAGACCAATCGCAGTGTTATGCATCAAATGTAAAGACCAATCGCAGAGTTATGCATCAATAGTAGCAACAGCTTTGCCAGGTTCTGCCGTCATATGAACAAAATTAGAGAGTCATCCAGCACGCTCCATTAAAAAAAGAAGGAAAAAGAATCAAACAAAACCTCAGAAAACAGCAGTCTGTTACTGTTGTAGCCCCTGGCACCAGTCATCATCTGGAAAGAAAACATCCTAGAATAAGGTCATTAAAACAGCTCTGATAAAACACAGTCACTATTACATATCATAAAGCAGATACAAGGTGTTTTACATTCACAGAGGGATGATACAGGACCGTCCTGCATCTAAAATAGTCGAGGATACAATAAAAAGGCATTATTTGAGGCTTGAGTCTCCTTTCCAGCAGAGGGCCTAAAGGACGGTGTGACCTGGTACAGCTCTGGTACAGAAACACAGCTTCATAGATCGGACTTCCTTTCATTTAGTGGTTACAGTTTAAGTACTCACGGCTCTTCATGAGCATCAGCTGAAAACACCAACAAAACATTCCAAAATGAAAACAAAAACCATCGGATTCATACAAGGATGACCAAGTGGAGGCATGGTCAACCTAAGCATGATTCTACGAAGTCTGTTGTTTGAATGGTGGCAGCTCCACAGAAGACAAGAGATGCCAAGCAGCGCTTCAGAGCTCTGAGCTACAGTCAAAGCACAGCAGCATTGTAAACAGAAGCAGGAGCCAAACACTGCTTATTGGAGATGTTCCCGGATGCTGACATCAATACTTAGTCATCTGTTCACTCCTCCAGGAAGAAGGGGACATCACTTACCATACTTTGTGTTCAACTCAATCACCATGTTACAAAACTAGCAAGCTGCCATCACAAAGAATACGGCTCCTCTAAGAAGCAAGGTCAGTGGTTCAAGTTCACCAGTCGCTCCTCAGAAACCCTATACAGGGTTCCTATGGATCGGAACCAACTTAACAGCACTCAACAACAACAAAAACAAGAAGCAACACCAGTTATCTTTGATTGTGACGTGGTTTGGGGGGACTTAGGTAAAGACCAGCCTCATTAGAGAAAGAGGAGCTTTGGTAGCATAGTGGTTGTGAGTCAGGCTGCTAGCCTCAAGGT